ACACATCATGCTTAGTACTAAAAAAAGACAAGTTGACAGCAACCAAATTATTGCTATAATATAAATCTGTATCTCACCACCCACCTGTTCCCACACTTTGGTGTCTCTCACCTAACTGATCTAACCGATATCAACTACAAGTATCTAGCTTTTTATATCTCTATATATATATATATATTGCTAACTATCAAATTATTGTTAATTAAAGTATTTACCATTGCCCCACTATTCTTTAATGAATCTTTGCTTCGTACGGAAGCAATATCCTCATAGATCCTCATAATATAATTAAATAATAGTTATATCAACTAATAGCTTCCTAACGGTATATATAGAGAGGGTCTCATAGCCAGTATTAAAATCCATTCAGAAAATCTACGGTGCAAGGGATTAGTCACTGCTACAGGTAACAGATACCCTAGACTAAAGAGAAATGAAAAAAAAAGAAAAGAACTATATGGCTATGAGATTTTACAAATATATATGTACGAAGACTTATTGTTAATATGTGATAATAACTAAAATAGTTTAGGAAATTAGTGCCTATCGCTGCTAGATTGATTCAAAATTGAAGTTGTGTTATGGTTGATTCTGTCAATCATCATAACGAGTAGGGGTTGTATTTGGGCCCATGAGGCCCATTAAGTAGACGAGGATTAGGCCCAAGAACTCTAATCACATGGGCTTGTAGTCACAACTTTCAATTTCCCTCCATCTATTGGAACTTTCAGGCTTTTGAAACCAAAAACCCGGTCTGGCCTTGCTCTGAATCTGCATGGAATCTTTTTCTTGGTAAAACCCTGCTCATTGAATACATAAGCAGGAAATGCTCTTTTCTTTTCCTTTTTTTTTAATTTAAAATTTTCTCATTAATTTTATTTTTTATTTGTATTAAGCTGTATCTAGTATTCTAATATATTTTTAGAACACCCACTATCACAAATTAATTAATTAATTTCTTGCACCAACATTAATAGTGAATGATACAAAAAAAATTTAAAATATTAGATGCACTAAAAATTAATTAATTAAAGATATTAGATGCCATTGAAAAATATTTTAAGACACTGTATGCACTAAATTAATTAATTTATGATACTGAATACTATTAAAAAATATTTTATAATACTAAATGTACTAAAAATTAATCAATTTAAGATACTGAGTGTTTTTACGAAATATTTCAAGCTACCAAATGCAACTCAACCCAAGTAACTTCTCATGCGGAAGATTGTTGTAACTCTCAATGAACCGCTATTAATGTTGGTGCCAGAAATTAAAATTTTTAAGGCCAAAATTTTGAAAAGATGCCCGTCATAGGCTGTGGTTGGAAAACCACTATTAATATTGACATCAATGATTGAAATTTTTGCGATAGTAGTGTTAGGTGAAATAATGTGAGAAAGTGTTGGGTGAAATAATTTGTCACTGGTTCAAATCTCTTTGATGTTGATTTTTTCAATATTTAATAATATCCTAACATAATTTACTCTTTCAAAGACATTTTGCTTAAACTTAAGATCTCATACTTAAATAACTATATACTATTCTGGTCCTTATTATTTGTTATTTGTGGAAGTTTCTCGCATACGAAAGAGAGCATTAAATAAATAACATCTTGTACTTTTACCCTTATGAAAGAGAACATTAAATATAATATGTTTTTGTCTCACCCACACTCTCTTTCTTCACATTTATTATAATTAATAGGGACAGAATTAAAAATAAAGCATTAAAAAGGATACGAATGACAAATAAAAAAAAGATCAAAATCCTTTCCTATAAGTGAGAAATAATAAGTAGCAGAGTGTATAACCTATTTCATTTGTACCCAACACCCATGATTTCTCTTTAACTTAACCAAAAGACACTTAATTTAATATGAAATTGCCCGTAATTGCAGGTTATTAGTTTTTACAGAGACATAGGGTGTGTTTGGATATCTCCCCAAACCATGATTTGGGGAAAAAATGACCCAAACACCCATAAAAAAAATCAAAACCATGGTTTTGGGTCAAAATCATGGTTTTGAAAAAAACATCTTGAATTTGCTTTTGGAAAAAATTGGAGTGTCATGCTTTTGAAAAAAATGTTATAGAATTTCATGTTTAAAATCTTTAAAGCAAATTAATATTTTTCTATTAGAAAAAATAATCATTTTTCTATAAACATATTTAATCTTATAATTTAAAAATATATATACATATTAATTATTTATTAATTATATTATCTATATATTATTAATTATGTTGGTAAAAATTATTTTATTAACAATTTTATTCCTTCAAATCAAAATATATTATAAAATCTATCCCTTATATAATTATCATATTAACTTATGCCCTTTTTAGTAATTTGCACATGTAAAAAGTGTTTCTGGTAACAATTATCCAAACACTCTCACTTCCTAGAATCACTTTTTTACAAAATCTATTCTTCAAAAAATCTATTCTCTCCAGAATCTATTATCTAGAATCACTTTTCCAAACTATGGTTTGGTTTCATCTAAACACACTCATAATCATTGTTGTTCGTCCCACTTATACCAGCGAGAGTATTCACAAACTGATCATTTGGCCTCCTCCATTAATAATCCTCATTATTTTTTGTTTATAATGTGACATAATGTTAGGTAAAAATGATTTTTTGTTGAAGATTCATATTTCTTTATGATGATTTAATTGCATGCGTTTTATCATGCGAGATATAGCGTTAGGTGAAATAATTTCTCATTGAAGATTCATATCTCTCTTTGATGTTGAATTTTTCAATATTTAATTACACGCATTTTATACTATTTAGTTAATTTACACACATAGATATGACCAATGATGGATGAGAAAATGACAAGAAAAAGAACCTAAAAATTATGAAATCCCAGCACCTAATACTTCAAAATTCCAAGGAAGGAAGTAGTGTCTGACCTGGTATTTTGCAAGTGTAGTTAAGTGATTAAAATGTCCTCACTTAAAAAAAATTATCAAGTTGTGAACTGATAATAACAAGTATTGATAGCAAATGATAAAAAATGTACTAGTAACAATAAGTTATTTATTAACAATTTATGAAGTCGTAATAACAAGTGTTGTATATCAAATAATAAGAAATGTAATGGTAATGACAAGTTTGAAACAACGGTGTTTAGTCATTTAACTACATTTACAAAAATAATACATCAGGTACCACTTACTCTCCCGAGGTTTTGAAGTATTAGATGTCTAAATTGAGATTTCATAATTTTTAAGTTTTTTAAAATCTTTTTCCCATGAGATTTTGAACTTAACCTCTTCGGAAATGCTTCTGGATTTCCTTAATTTCCGATCAAATTCTGTATAAATCCATCAACTAGCTCGCTACTACCTCACTTCATCATCTATATATCTAATTTTCATCTCTGAATAACCATCCGGCATTGTGTACTGTTGCCATTTTGTATCCTAAATTGTCTCGCGCACACAGTGTATCATTCATGTGTGTGATTTTGGAATATTTTATGAGACCTATAATAGTTACTAGTTACATAATATAAATTTGAACATTTGTAATATTTCTTGTACTAATTAAAAACCAGTGGTGGTATGGGTTAAATTTGAACCGCATGGCGCTGTTTCGCCTCATGTCTGAATTAGTTGGGAAAAAGTGATTTTTATTTCAATTTATTTATATAAACCGAAGTTAGAGTAAAAGTTATTAGTGTAATGTTATTTTTGTTTGGATAGGATTTTATAAACATATTAATTTGATAGAAATTCATTTGGAATAATATATTAAAAGGTTGTTTTTAGAAGCTGGTAAAAAAAAAAAGATTGTTTTTAGAAGGTCCAAATTTGAAAAAAAAAAGGCAAAAAATTGTGCTAGAAAAAGTTGTTAAAGCCACTTCTGATTCAAAAGTCATTTGCTTCAAAAGTTATCCCAAATATAAAAATATTAGTTAAATAATTTAATTTAGTCTAAACGTGAGAAATATAGTAAGTTTACGGGGGCAAAAATATAGATAGTGAAAATATCAGGTAAAAGTATAATTATGAAAAAATGTCTAGAAATTAGAGAAAAATTCTAAACGGTTGAAAAAGAGATTCCTAAGGCATATTTGAGGGCGAAGGATATTATCTAAAATTAAAGTGCCCCAAAAATAAAATCTATTTTTGGATGAAATTTAAGAAAATAAAGGAGAAAAATGATTATTGAGATTATTTAAGGGCCCATAAAATTTGTTATGTAAATAAGAAAATTTTCGAAGAGATTAAACTTCAAAAAATTACTTAAATATTTTAAAGCCAAGTTTTAGGAATTAAAGGCCCATTTTCTCGTAAATTCAATAAAAAAGTTAGAGGTAATAATTTGTCCTGAAAAGCTCAAGGAAGTTATTTCATAAAGTAAAGAAGCTAATTAAGATATAGGTCAAGAAAAAAATTGTGGGCTATTAAAGATTAATTTCTAAAATTCATTTTATTTAATTTTTTGCCGGCAGACCAAGCCAATTTATGGAGCCTATGCCCTACGGCGTACTCCACCCGGCCCAAGAAGGAAGAGCATCAGAGTCACCAGGCCCTGGGCTTATGTGGTAAGCTTGCTTTTGTGAGGGACCCAAAAGGGAACCATTAAGGGAAAATAACAAAAAAAAAAAAAGCTAAAAATTACTAAATTTCAAATCAAGTTCGATAACAACACTTTATTTGATATTGACGACGTTGAATTTGTAAATGACAACAAAATTCTGTGTTTATTAATATAAGAAATTATTTAAAAAATATAAAAAAATAGATTAAATCTAAACCATCCAAAATCAACGTCCGCTTAGATTAAAATGATAACCCTGTTCATCTCTGGGACGATCAGGGAATGTGCTCCCAGCCCCACACCCTTCATTCGCAGTTGTATCATAAATGGGGGGAGAGGGGGGTTGGTCGCTAGCATCCCACCTACATGCATCTGAATCTGTAAGCTAAGGGTCACTATCTGATTTTAGAGAGAGAAAGTGAAAGAACACGTAGCAAACGTTGAAGAAACATCGTAGAATGCCTTTATTTGATGCTGTGCCAATTTTGGAGGACGATTTTGGAATCTGTCATTGCTGTCCACCAGATTACCCTCATGAAAATGTCACAGAATCCAAGTCACTTGCCTTCATATCCGTGTTGCCCACGGCGACTGCTTATTTCTCTAGCTCCACCGTTCATTTTGAGATCACTTTGCTGTTTAATTTAAGGTGCAAACTTGTAATGCAACTATGTAACATAAAAGATGCTTGTAAAAAGAACGACATATATATAAAGCATCAGAGCAAGCTCTCGTTCATTGTGTCACAATCGAGCTTGTGCTAGTTTACTGGATATCCCTCCCGCCGGCGCCGGCACCGGCCTCGGAGACACCGCGCGCATGAATTCAGTGTCACTTGCTAGAGCTTCAAGCATCTCAAAGGAAGCATACACCTCAATTTCTAAACTATCTTCTTCTGCTCCGGCATCAACCACTAGCTTCCAATTCTTTGGACTAGGAAGGCAGCTATGAACTGCCACCGGTCTTCCCCACCCAAAATCAATGGCGTAAAAGTTGGTCCTTGGAGAACTGCTAGTTCCCATAAACTTCCCGATTGGGCCACTCTGTAATGGCATCGTGGGATTTCTAGCCCATGCTTCGAAGTCCTTCTTGATATTTTCCTCTGTGAACGAGGATATCACCCTGTTCATCTCCAAAGCAAACTTGCCAAGCCCTCTATCTCCCACCAAGTCTCTTACTTTCATCGTCAAAAAGGCATGTTGAACAGTGGGTCCAAAATAGTTTCTAGGTATTGGTGGATCAGAAATTCTGGGTCCAGCAGCTACGAAGAATCTGTAAGTAACCACTTCTTCTGGATCAAGATGCTGGTTTTTGATCATAGATCTCCAAACGTGGCTGGTAAGAGCTTGCAAGGAGGAGATTTTGTGGCTGATGTGGCCATCTGCTACCTCTAAGTTAGCTTTTTCTGTTAATTCAACGATTTTTTTACTTTTAAAGTGGAAGATCCTTTGAGAGAATGGAAAAGCCTGATGCGAACCAATGGATCCCTTAAGTTTACCATCACTCTCCATGATTTCTCTTAATGGGATTCGTACAGGGCGAGCTATTTTACCTTGGGGAAACCATCGCTTGAATGAAGCCAGCTTCGAATTGGACTCTATGTGGTTTAAACCATGTCGGGAGATGTTAGCCCATGTGTTCAAGAAATCCCAGAAGGGCTTTACATCAGCAAGACAATGGTTAATCGAACAAGCCATGAAGATGCCGTCGACGAGCTCAGTAACTTGGACGGCCAATAACGGGATCCGACTTCCTTCGATGTTCTTGGATCTGTACAGCGGGAAGAAGGAGTGGACAAATGGCGGAACATAAGGCGATTCAATAATATCTGCAATTGTGATGTTCTCAGCAATAGCATGAACAAAACTTGCTCCGGCGTTGTTGCAAGTGACTGAGACAGAGAAGGTATCATCATCGCCGCCGTGATGGGCGATAACAAAACGGCCGGCAAGGGGCGGGTAGAAGTCGAGGGAGGAAGAAAGAGAGTCCTTAAGGTGCTGGATCGTTTTCCTTATGTAAGAAGAAGAAGATAAGGTTGGTTGGTGGAAAAGAACAGCTTTTTGGCCATATTCACTTAGCAGAAACTGAAGATCCCAGGGATTGAGCTCGATTTCTTTAAGCGAATCACCATTATTAATTTGACTTCGTGCTTGGATTGTAGTTGTGGAGACCACTCGGATGCCTGCCATGGTACAGTGTGGGTGGTGTTTTTATTCAATCGCCTTTTTTCTTCGCCAGCAATACTGCAGACTGAATATGAGTCCGCATTCGGTGCTCGTTAGCTTAAACGCTTCCGCTTTTATCAGTAATTAAGGAGGCGGAATTTTCTAGTAACAAAGGAGGAGAGAAAATTTTTTGTCCCTTAAATTTAACATCATTACTCAACAATTTCAAAATGATAAAAACTCAGCATTTAAATGATGATTTATTAATTTTTAATTTTAAATATATAAGTTAAAAAATATTTAAAATAAAACCTTATTTTTATCAACAGGTTGTATGCAGTTTAATAGTTATAAAATAAAAAACTTCGTTTCATACTATTATCATTGAAAAAAAATTATCTAGTTAATCTGAAAATTTATATCAAAATTTTCCCTTTCTTCCTAGAACAAGATGAGGAGGAGCAATTCTAGAGCCATCAATCTGTGATTCTAACCTTATATTTGGTATGAGGAAATTAGAAGGGAGGGGATGTGAGGGAAAATTTTAATAAGCTCAATTTAAAACAATAAAGGCTAAAGTATACATTTGGTCCTTTAAATTTTTACAAGATTTCAATTTGGTCCCTTAACTTTATAAGGTATACTTTTAGTCCTTTAATAACCTTAAAATTTTTTTAAAACATGATGACATTAAGATGTTAAATGTTGATAAAATATTCTCAAATGCTTATATATTTAGTTTAATTTTCAAAAAATCTATAATTGTTACAAAAAATCATCATTGAAGCTTAATGGTTTTAGGGTTAAAGGACCAAATATGTGCTTTTTAAAGTTAAGGGACCAAATTGGAACCTTGTATAAAGTTAAAGGACCAAATATATACTTTAGCCAAAAATAAAAAAGTGAAGTTATAAAATTTTGATAAATAAAAGATATAAGATAAAATAATAAAAAATAATTAAAAAATTTTAATCTCACTTTTTTAATTTTTTTTAAATTGAGCTTGTTAAAATTTTTTCTCTCCTCTCTTCTCATCCATTTCCCTCACGGCAAACCGACCACAAATGGTTTTCTTCAAGCAGGGAGGAAGAAGATGGAAAGGACACGTCGACACGTCGATACCAAGAACGACAAAAAGGAGAAATGAGAAAATGGATAGGTCGAGATGAATGGGCCCCTGGCCTCGGCTCCATTATGTATACAGTCGTCCTACGTATCCTAGAGAAAATATTGCAGCCAATCTACCCAAGCTTCAAGCATCAACAGTCTTGGCTTTCATCTTTATTGGATCATGACCAGGTCACTTGTTGAACTCATTTGAAAAATCGAAATCAGTCGACCTCGTGGACACATCCAGCCTTACTTGACAGTTTGGCGGGCAAGAAAATTGTTGCTTGATAGATAGATAAATGCACCTTTCATGTATTTAAGTCCTCTAATAAGTGAAGACAAAGGAGGACCGATTTTTTTCTCTCGAAAAAAACTAAATTTATCAAAATGGACAATCAATGACAATAACATATATACTTGTTTCTCAGGGCTTAAGATGCGTCTAGTACCTTCAAAGTATTTTTTGATATAAGACTCCAATCTATTTTATTTTTCATATTTTTTTATTTTTTTCTAAAATAGTCTTTCTAATAATAATAGTTCTAGCCAATAAACTTGATTGGATAATACTTATTTATTACAAATAACTAATCTAACTTATTTTCTTAGAAAATTCAAATTAATCAACTAATTCTTATATTTAGGATTGGAAGTAGTATTAAGATTAAAACCTGAACGGTTCAAATTTCATATTTTATAAGACATTTTTTTGAATTATCATGGCTGAAATTTAGTAGCTCAATTTTATTTATTTACTTTTTTAAAAAAAGACATTTTATTCTTAATTTTTTTAAAATACGAAATTTGGACAGTTGGAATTTCAATCCTACGACTAAAATGGAAAGTGAACAGAAATAAAAGGAAAGGGGAGAGGAAGCAGAGAGACCAGTTAAAAAACAAGACCGATGATTACCATCTCTCTCCTCAATTGTCATCACAATTGTTTGGGAATTTGGTTTTCGTTTTGGTGGTTTTACTTTCTGCCCCCTCATTAAATTCCTTAGGCCTGATCAAGCCGTCATCCTAGTTCCTGTTCTGATCAGTAGTTTTCCTCTCAAGACAGTCTTCTCTATAGCTAGCTCCTTGAGTGCCTGTGTCTGTCACTTGAATGTGTTGAATGTGTGAAAGTGAACATGAAAGCAAAATTTTGCTTCAAAACTGAAAACACCACTACGAAGAAAAACATAAAAAGATTATATTTTTAACATCACATGAAAGTTTGCCTTTTCTGTTACAGCCGAGATGGTGCTAGTTTATTTGAGGACGAAACCACATAATGCATGAACTAAGGGTCATTTGATAAAGCTTCGAGTATCTCATAGGAAGCATACAACTCAATATCAAAGCTACCTTCTTCAGCTCCAGCATCGACCACAAGTTTCCAAGTCTCTGGATTGGGTAGGCAGCTATTTACTGATACTGGTTTTCCCCAACCAAAGTCAATACTGTAAAAATTGGTTCTTGGAGAACTGCTACTTCCCATAAACTTACCAATTGTGTCACTGACCTCACTTTGTGGAGGCAACTTCGGATTTCGAGTCCAATCTTCAAAATCCCCCTTGATCTTTTCCTCTGTGACTGATGATGCTGTCTTGTTCATCTCCTGAGCAAACTTGCCAAGCCCTTTATCTCCCACCTAGTCTCTTACTTTCATCTTCACATAAGCAAATTGCACTGTGGGCCCAAAATAGTTCTCAGGTATTGGTGGATAAGGAATTCTGGATCCAACAGCTACGAACACTCTGTAAGTCACCACTTCTTCTGGATGAAGATGCTGGTTTTTTTATCACAGATCTCCAAACGTGGCTCTTAACGGCTTGTAAGGAAGAGATCTTGTTTCTAATGACACCATCATCTATGTCCAACTTAGCTTTTGCTTTCAGTTCGACAATTTTTTCTCTTCTGAAGTGGAAGATCCTCTGAGATAATGGAAAAGGCTGATGTGGAGAATCAATGGACAACGCCTTAATATCAGTCTCCTTTATTTCTCTGCAAGGGATTTGTATAGGGCATGCTATCTTACCATGAGGAAACCATCGTTGGAATGAAGCGAGCTTCGAAGTCGACGACGCCATGGAGTTTAAACCATTACGAGAGATGTTAGCCCATGTATTCATGAAATCCCAGAAGGGTTTTACATCAGCAAGACAATGGTTCATCGAACGAGCGATGAAGATGCCATCCACGAGATCTGTAACTTGGCCAGCCAATAATGGGATCCAACTTCCTTCGATGTTCTTGGATCTGCACAGCGGGAAGAAGGAGTGGACAAATGGTGGAACATAAATGGATTCAATAATCTCAGCAATTGTAGTGTTCTCAGCAATAGCATGAACAAAACTTGCTCCGGCGTTGTCGCAAGTAACGGAGATCGAGAAAGTATTATCATCGCCGCCGTGAGGGATGATAACAAAACGACCAACAAGGGGCGGGAAGAAGTCGAGGGTGGAAGAAAGAGAGTCCTTAAGGTGTTGGATCGTTTTCTCTGTGTAAACTGAAGAAGAAGAAGAAGAAGATGATGATAAGGTTGGTTTGTGAAAAAGAACGGCTTTCTGGCCATATTCACTTAGCAGAAACTGGAAATCCCAGGAATTGAGCCCGATTTCTTGAGGTAAATCACCATTATTGAATTGGCTTCGTGCTTGGATCGTAGTAGTGGAGACCACTCGGATGGCTGCCATGAAATATCTGCAGTTGCCTTTACTTTCCCGTGTGTTTGTCACGGTACACACGCACACATATATATAACTAATATATTTGGTCCTCTTAAATGATTTGAACAATATCGCTGGTAAAGAAAAAAAAATGATTTGAACAATATCAATCTGTTCTCTTCTCGTTTTTCGTTCCACTTAAGTGAAATCTTATATGGGGACCAAAAACTATATTTTCGCTCATCGGTTTTCTCTTCTAGGGTTTCCTAGTGAGAGCGACATTTCCTCTCCTTAGTGTGAGTGCTCCCTCTCCGATCTGATCGTGAGAGTTGTTTCCTCACCCGGCGGCGACCGTCTCTCTGGTGGCCGCCGGGTGAGAGAGCTTCAAATGCTGTGTGTGTGTGTGAGTTTGTCTTTGAGATTACGAAAGGAGGAGGGTAGAGATGCTTATGAGATCTGGAAAATCAAAGATCACGAGGCGGAAAATTGTTCAACGTTAGGTACATTAACAATTGCAGAGAGGAAGAACGGATATCATAAGAAAGAGGCGATTGTAGTGTACTGGAGAAGTGTGATCGGAGATTGTGAGAGGCACTTTGAGACAAGCAAAATGACCTCAAGCAAGCGATCTCAAAGTGTTTCCCTCCCGTGCAGAGCTCAGGACAGAAAGAGCAGTGTTCTAAGGTACGATGATATCCTATCGCAGAGGCAACTAATTCTGTTGTGGTGCACATCTTTTTTGATTTTCGGCATGATTTCGGTGGTAATGTTGGCATTTGGTGCTAAAAATGACTCTGCTGGAAATACCTGGCATGAACTTATATTGCTATTGAATTCCAGTGAACATATGATTAGTGCTTCTAGAGTTATCAAAATTACTATTTGGCCACTTGAGATCTGCAACTATATTGGTTCCTTTGATGATTTGGATGTGGTCCTGTGCAACATGGATAGTTTGAGAAAGCAAGAGGCTAAGGGATTTTTTGCTCTATGTATGTTTATTATGGATGGTTGCAATTGGTTACTTCTCTCTGTGTTCTATTGGATTATGAAGGTCTGCAAAAATCCTCAGAATGTCTCAACCTCTCTTAGTGGGAGTTTTAATGCTGCAAATATGAAAGCAGCTTTGGTGTATAAGGGTGTGGGCTCTATAGAGCAAGTTGCAAAACAACCACCCCTTCTAGCCACCGTCATGGTGTGTTTGTCACAGAGAATTGATCATTGCAATACAAAGTTGCAAAGCATGGGGCTGAATTTCCCTTTGCCTAATTACCTTTGGATGTTCAATATTTTGAGAAGATGCGAGGATGGGAGAAATTTTGCTTTGTATATGGACATTATAAATGGGTGCAATTGGCTCTGTTTTTCTGTGTTGTACCGTGTTCTGGAGGTTTGCATGGAACTTCAGAATGAGTCATCATCTCTTGTTGAAAGAGAGAGTTTTAACGCTGCAATTGGGAAGGCAGC